TGCAACAATTCTTTACCAAGAAATACGTTTATGACAAAATTTTGGAAAATGGGCGTAGCACCGCCCACTTGTGATCACATATATGTATCTCGCTAACCGTTCTAGCAATTTGTACCAAGCTCGGTATGGTTATTGTGCTTGCCACATAAAAGCAAACCATTGAAAATTGTTGAAATCGGACTAAAATTGAGGCCGCTTTTCATATAACGGTAAATTTCAGAAATGCTTGAAAATTCAATATTTCGAAATTTAAGGACGCTAATTTACTTAAAATGTATACACCCCGGCTTATCATGTAGCGGTAGCTTTCGGAAAGGTGGAAAACATATATTTAATACTTGCGCCGGGTATTTAATGTTCGGCTCCGCCCGAACTTAGACTTTCTTACTTGTTATGGTTAATCTTGATGAAAGTTACATGTATCGTCGAGGACATGGTTACGTGCAGAATTTTAAATTAATTAATATTCTTCTCCATATAAAATGTACGAGTATGGCTTTATTAAATGTAAACTTATGCGAAAACCTAAATATTTCGTCAACCAAGGGTTAATTTTGGTGGCGTCGTGGCAATTCGCAGAAATTTAATAATTTGTCTACGTTTGGGGGATGGCGAGGGGAAGACGAAAGCAGAACAATCGTACATATTTATGCACATATTTACATTTATAAATGCACACATATTTATGCGTTTGTCTTCTTGGACGAATGAAAAATTTCATATATGTAGTGATTTAGAGATAGCCGTTTCAGTAATGTACCGTGGCGTGTACGCTAGAGGCGATGCTACTTTTTGGCGTCTCGCCGTTTGTCTTGGTTCAAATCCCGGACGGACCAAGTAATAAATTATTTTTTTTTTTAATTGTCATATCCATATTCGATTTTAAATTTTACTATTAGCTTTGTTTAAAATAATATAAATGGATATGTAGGTACAAACGCATGCATAATTTCACATAATCGCTCAAATTTGCCAAAAGTTACTGAAAGCTTTATTGTAAATGTTTTCACTAAAATATTAGTTATTGGAATTAAAATTTTATGCGAATCCAATTTTTATTCCCATTTTTAGAAAGCGCAAGTATGTATATGTTCGTGCCACAAAAATTATTTCATAAGTAGTTAATTTTAAACACAAATATGTATGTACACTGGCAAAGTGAGTGCATCCTGTTTTTTGTTTAATATTTGCAATGTTTTTAAGTTAAACTTTTATGTTATTTTCGCCGGGAATTGCGGTTTTATGCATATAGCAAGTGCAATTTGTAAAAAATAGCGCTAATTTTTTTTATTTGTTTGCAAAAGTGCAAAAAGCCGTCAGCAATAAATAATCATTAAAAATCAACCGGACTTTTTAGCCGCTTAAAACTTGATCTTGTTCCACTAGAATTAAAAAACCGATCTATCTGCGTACTCAAAATTTTCCTAAAAACTCAAATTAAACAGGTCAAAATTTAGACGAGAATTCGTTGAATTTTTCTATGTTCTGTGTAAAGTTTGAAAGTTTGACTTGTATAGTTTTGATTAAAGCATGAACCACATTTTTATAAAAAGATAATAAAAAAAATTAATTGAAAAACATTGCAAATATTAAGCAAAAAACCCCATGCACTCACTTTTGATTGCCAGTATATGTATGCATGTACATATGTGTGTAAACTTTATGCCAAACTATCATTATTTTAAATTGTATTTGCATCTTCATAAAAGGAGAACAAGATAAAAAATTTAACAAAAATTACAAATTAATGAAAATTATGTGAAGATTTACCATATTTTCGTTTATTTGCTCACAAAGAACATCATATTTCATGTTGCTCAACATTGTATTATGTTATCAACATTAAATTCAACAGAATTTTTACATTCCGACTTGAACTTTTCTAACACTGTTAATTTTTCGTCCGCGAATAGTTTCCACTTTCAGTTTGCACCTTCTCTATCTATCTAAGTTCTCTGCTCATACACATCTCTTTTGCCTTTGTGAGCTCGTGTTTGATCGGCACTGATGTACAGATTTTTCGCGTAGCTATGCGCTGTATTTGGCAACCAAATAGGCTTATGATTGTACGTCTCTGTAATTTTTTGTAACTTTACACCCAAAAAAAGGGTGCTTATCTTCCAAGAATAAAAAATATAAGTATGCCACTCTGCGTCTTTTTACAAATGCTTCGTTTAAAAAAAAAAAAATTAAAATCGGTTCAGTACTTTGAGAAATAAGTCGTTACAAACGTACTCCATATAATCAATTTTATTTAATAGTATAGATATAGATATGTACATATACATGTATTTACAAAAATATTCAGAGTCAGATTTTATGGAAAGGAATATGTTTAAATATTTATTTAACTACATTTTACTTTCAAAATAGTATACATAGTATGTATGTATAAGTATATTATACATGTTTATATTTATAAATACTTTAATTGTAGTTAGTAAGTTATGCATTTTTGTTTTTAATGTGTATGAGGTTACCTTTACAATTATGTATGCACTCCACCTTCGTTTTTTTTTTTCAAAGTTGATACCCTGACTTATTCGTGTATAAAGGATTTTATAGTGAAAGCATTTTTAGGGGCCGGAAAGGTGTTCCGAAAGAGCCCTAAAACCAAATTTTGTTTGAACGGAGAATTTATTATGCTCCATACTAGAAATGGGCACGGGATTAAAAATTTAATCCCGATCGCGCCCATCCCGAAATTCAGTTTTTAAGTCCCGAACCCGCCCATCCCGACATTTTTCAGAATTGTACCGCGGGTCCCGTGGGTCCCGATATCTATCTCTAAAGCAGGCTACAAACGGACAACAAATTGAAACGATCGGTTGAGATTTCAACGTGGCTTGCAAACCGATCGAAGGTTGACAAAAATGTTCATGTCTTTCAATTAATTTTAAATAATAAAAATAATAATGAAAGATCTGGCATCTTCCGATTATTTTGTTTTGCTTTGCTGTTCGTTTTCGTCTCAATAGAACATTAAGGGCCAATTTTTCAGTGCACGGCCGTGGTTTAAACTCAGTTTAAATGCCCGATCTGGCTGGTTTAAACTAAGATCAGCCAATCAAATGTCAGCCAGCTGCTCAATTTAAACTCAGTTTACTTAATCTAGGTTTAAACTGGCACTGAAAAACTGGCCCTAAAAGTGCATATTTCAAACATCGTTTTTAAGAAAGATTTTGTGAATTTGCGGGGGTCGCGGTTTTATCGGGAGTGTTGGGAAAGGATTTTGGTCCATCCCGCCCGCCATAATTTTACAGATCTTCCCGATACTGCCCATCCAGATGAATTTGAAATCAGTACCGTGGGTCTCGCGGCTCCCGCTATCCCGCGCCCATCTCTACTCCATACTACCCACAGTGATTGTTACCTTTGCTTGAGCTATGCGGCTTCTAAAAACCTGGAACACCTAATCTAAAATCGGCTGCATTTTGCTTTACATATCCCCTAAATTAAATTACATGTACATACATAGATTGCCATTAAAAAACTTCCTAGAAATCTGTTTATTTATATGCAAAAGGTATGTTAATTTGAGAAATTTTCTCATATAAATCCTTATATGTATTTCGTGACAGAACGTTATGTAAAATAAATAAAAATGTCCATAGTATAGGAGAAAGATCGTTCTTTAAAATAAGCCTGGCTTTGAGTGTGAACAACAATTTTTAAAACCACTTAGAAATTACATCATACTCGATATAGGGCACCTCGTGTACCTAGCATTGTGTAATTTTTAAGTTGTTTTCAAAACTCTAGTTCACATTCAAAGCCAGGCTCATTTTAAAGAACACCGGCCCACTCCTTGTAAAATGGATGAAAAGGTTGTTTATTGGAATTGGATTAGTCCTGTTATCGACTTCGGGTTACGACCGGAAGTGGGTTAAACTGATCGGAAGTCCATATTTTTAATCGGAAGTCCATTTCAGAGAAAAGTTTCCGACAAAACTTGTGTAATTTTTCCGCAGAATCCGAGTTTGTGGTAAAAACTTGCATGTGCCATTTAAAAAAATCAGTCGAAATCGGAAGTCGGTAAAGCGACCAAAAGATTGCCTTATATTTAAATTTAATTGTACTAATATTGTTGTCCATTGAAAGGCATTTTTTTTTAAGTTAATGCGCCGTTTTTAGAGCGAACATAAAAATCAACATTATGGATTTTCAACGCCTTTCGGATTTCAGGTGGTTTTTGCAAAAATTTGCGTATATCGGGGTTTGAATATATGAGTATATACATATAGTAGGGTTGCCACTTTTAAAAAAGTTATGATTGACTTCAATTAAGGCAATTAGGTAATTAAAAAAATGTATCACAATATGAGTGTCAGACGAAAGAAGTTCGAATTAAATTAAATTATTTAAAAGTTATATGGAATATTAAAATATCGATGTCAAACGAAAGAGCGTTAAGAATCTATAGTTTGAAAATTTAGAATTTTTTGTGGTGTTTGGAGAGGGTTGTCACCTGTTTAGATTGAATTTATTTTATAAGTGAAATAAATTATTAAAAGAAATATTTCAATATTGGTTGAAAAAAGTAATTACTTTTACGATGCAGTTTGAATTTTTTTGATACAAACACGATTTACGCAGTTTTTAAAAATTTTTCCAATTGTGTGTATTTTTTTTTTACTACAAATTTTGACGTCATACGGGTTCACTAGATGGTCCTATTTTTTTTTTTTAAGTAGATACAGATTTAATATCTACTTTCAGAGTATTTTTACATATTATGGACTAATATTTATTTATCGAATGCATATTATGGATTACTACCGTTTGAATATTTATACAAAACGGATACATTACTAATATTAAACAACTGGAAGGATAAATATATTGTAAATGAATACATATTTGAGAGCACTCAGATATATCTGTACATATGACTTGTAATCTACTAGTATTTATGCATATATGTACATGTGTACTATAAATCCTATATATCTACTAAAAATATGTATGTACATGGAATTAAAAATTCGAATATAACATACGTCTCTTGATAACAAAAAAATCATGTGAACTGTTCGTGGTCCCATTTCGGCTAAAACATTCCAAATCAGTTATATTTTCCAGATTGCGTATGATAAAGCCAATTCTTGGCTCAAACTCTATCGAATCATACACATTACCAGGTGGAAAACTTGTCAGCTGGGGCACCGATTTTGAGGAACATAAAACCTTTGCCTCACCATTATCCTAAAGGCAATAATAATAATAAGTGAAAAACAATAAAAAAAAAAAATTATGTAGAAACCATAACCATGAAAGTGTGAAAAAGATATGTGTATAAGTACTATGTTTGTGCTTATACTAATAAAACCAAGAATAATTAGTTAAGTGAAAAAAGAAACTTTCAACTAATTAGCAAGTGAAAAGCTTGATATGTTAAACGAGCTTGAAAGCAATATTGAAAGTGTTTTAGGAAAACTTACCTCGCCATGTGATGTGGTTAGAAGCACTTCTATATTCGGCATAGTCGGCTTACAAGGTATCACTGTATCTTGATACTGATAAGCGGTTATAATAGGAAATTCCGTTAACGCCAACAAATTCGCTGGATCTGGAAAAATACAAAAAATCGGAATGTTATATTTGCTTGGTATTAACAAACGAAGTACACATTCTCTACTTACCGTTGACGTACACGTAAATGGAGGATGCCTTATTGTTATTCACCAATTCGACCACCTCTTCATCCAGCATTTCGTCGAGACTCTTGCTAACGCTCGATTCTTTTATGCAATAGTAACTGCCCACATTTAGATATGATATCTCCAATAGGTAGAGCATACTGCCAAATGATCGTTGCGGATCGCCGGTATCAAATGTTTTCACCTCGTGTGCCGGCGTATTAAGCGTAACTTTCCAGAGCAATGGTTCATTGGCCTCACAACGTATCGTATAATTTGTATTCATTTCGAGCGTTACATATTCCATTAGCGGTGTAATTAACGGTGCACCATATTCGACGGCATAATTACGCCTGAAGTTATCGTCGCCGTCAGCATTGGCAGGTGTTGGATGTGGCGCTGAAAAGAATTCGATATTTTATTAATAACAAATGCTAATTATTTAAACAGAAAATAGCAAAGGTAATATATATATATATATATATATATATATATATATGTATATATACTATATTTGGTTCAATTTCTCAAACAGCAACTCAAATCTTAACGGTAGAAGTTTTAATTTATATTTCGCATTTTTCCTACTTTTAGTCAATGAAATTCTTTGACTAAATAAATTGCGGCGCCTCAAATGATCCAAGTGGTTGGACGCATGCATTCCACTACATTGAAAATGAAATAAATTTTAATAAAATCACTTGAAAGCTACAAAAAGGCTGACAGACAACGAAAATCGGATGCTCACAATTAAGTTCTGTCGCCAGTGGCGCCAAAGTCCAATATTCTATTTGCTTACAAAGAATTTATCACTTGTTGGGTGAGAAGAAGACGTAGGACGTAGCACTCAATTAAATTCGGTTGCCATACCACGTGCGAAGCAATGAACCGAAGCAGTGTTGCCGTTTTGGTAGGCTTCTACCAAATTTTGTAGAATACTTTTCAAAATTTTTAATTTTGGAAGATTGATAGATTCGTTTTTAATTTGGTAGATTCTACATGATTTTTTGGACTTCATTCATTTCCACGAAATCTTAATTTCTGGGTGCTGGGGCTTCCCCTTTTTTTCTAAAACCAGGTTTCGAGTTATTCGAAAAATGGAAAATGGCCATTTGAAAAACCCGGCTTCCATTTTCAAATAAAGAAAAAACCGGATAAACCGGTTTTATTCTACATATTTTGAGAACATTTACACTTACTGTTAGTAAGAAATCACGATAAAAATTAAAATATGATTGCTAAAAATAAGTATAGCTTTAATTTAAAAACCAGTAAGGCAAAATAAGTTCGACGTATTTTGGATTATAAGTAAAACAGCAAAAATAGTAAAAAATTCACACTTAGCACCGATCATACTTAACTTCCCTTAGTCGGGAAAAACTCGAGCATGTAAAACCGACTGTGTCGGAAATGAGAATACAGCATCCGCTGAACCAGACCGACTAGACAAATATCTTTAATCAGCAAATTCGTCAATTCTACACAGAGTTTAGTAAACTGCTATAACAAAAAAAAAAAAGTGATAGGCTCTCGTTCGGTTTTCCTTTTATTTTTTAAGTATTTTTCTGCAGTGGAAAAATTTCCAATATTCAGATATAAAATTCATAAAAATGGTCTTTGCCGTACTATTCTCAATAACACAAATATTTAGAATTTTAATATTCTGATATATAAATAAACCAGGTGAAAACCCGGATTATTCGATTGTAAAAATTCTGTTTACTCAGGATTCAAAAAACCAGGATTTCAAAAAAACACATAAAAATATTTTTAAAAAACCGATTGAAACCGGTTTGGAAAAACCTAGTCAATGACCCTAAACACCCCCTTTTTCTGTTAATCAGTTCTGGTCGGTTTTTCGATTGGTCCACATTACTTTTCAAGGTAGCAGTTGGTATCATTTTTGGCCAGGAGCAGCGCTTCCTCAAAAAACGAGCTCTCGCTTCTAGTCAAACCGGGTGCGTTATAGCCCAATGCCTAAATATGTAAGTTGGAAAAAGCCTTTTCTAAGTTCACAATCTGATTTATAATAATTTCAGGCAGAAATAATTTTCCCGAATAGTTCGCGAGAATCTAAATCCGCTGAGAGAAAGCGGGATGATTCAGAATTGGGCTGATTGTTAATCTTGCTTTTGCCACCATTTATGAAACTTTTGGTAGAACTCTGATAGATTTTGTGTGACCATTTTGGTAGAAAAATATTTTTGATGCGGCAACACTGAACTGAAGTAGAACTTCTACTGTAGAAGTGATACACGAACATAAACAATCTGAGGACTTCTTAATTCATTGACATTTACTTAGCAGGTAGGCTAAATAAAACTAATCCTAAAATCAATTGCTACGTGTACATAGCTACATCTGCTACAGGTTACATATCGTCCATTCTACTATTTTCATGTTCTTTTAATTTGTTTTAAATGGACATGGTTTACGAATAAATCACAGCATATTATTGCTTGTCAAAGTGTTCAGTTCTTCGTCTCTCTGTGCATCGCTGCTAAAATCTTTACACCTAAACGTCTTGCAAAGGCGGGGCAGAAGCATAAAAAATGTTCCACCGTCTCATCCTCTACAAGGCGCTAAGTTCAATTGGGGTTATCATGTATACCGCGCACAGTCAAGTGTTTGTGTCACGACAAATGGCCAGTCAGCAATAGCACAAGTTGTCTGCAATCCCATCTGTTCAATGACAGCACACACCTATTTAGCTAAACCTTCTAAGGTTGAGATCAACATGAGTTTTGCTTTTGTGCATGCTGCAGGCCATCGAAGCCTTTCATCAATCACCCAGGTCCTGACGGCAGCTTCGATGGCCGACGATAACTCTCTCATATCTGGACTTAGTTCTTTTTTTTTGGATTTCCACCTACATTAATATTCAGAGGAACTAAAGGAATGTAACATGCAGCAATTTAAGGTTAGAACTTAGACTAAGGCTAATAGCCTATTTCCACCAAAGGCTTAACTGCAGTTAAGAGCTCAGAAAAGTTCAAGTAATTCCAACATGGGGTGATCGGAAAGGTTTTTTTCGTAAGTACTGCTTTTTTCCTTTCGTTAGCTTCCTCTTAATAGGTGGAATCATCCCCTTCGTTTTTCATACGGCATAAACTGCAGTTAAGGCTTGGTGCAAATCAATTATAAGACAAGTGCAAAAGTACCAAGATTACGAATAGCACTAAGACGACGATGAATACGAAGTCATGAAGGCGATAACGATAACGATCACGAAGATGAAAACGAAGATTAAGCGGACGAAGGCAAAGGCAAATACGATGATGAATACGAAGTACGACGAAGAATACGAACATGAAGAGGATGAAAAAGAAGAAGGCGGAGCGCGATTGCGAAGACGAATATAAGGACTAAGGCTAAAGCTAAGAAGAAGACTATGATGAAGAGGGATGATTGGAAAAGAGCACGAATACGAAATCAAATACGAAGGCGATTACGATGTCGAATAGTAAGACGAAACAATACTGAGTGCTGTTTTATGCACACGTTGTTTTTTGTTAGCTCCGACAAGAATAAAACTACGACGAATACGTATACTTATAATAGAACTTAAGCAAGCTAATATTAAGAATAATAGAAATTGTCTGAAGTATGAGAAGAATTGGAAATGAATCGAACGAGGTTTCACCTCCGAAATGTGTTGCCCAGGCGCAATCTTTTCCAACTATGAACTTCACGTAATAGAAACTGGCATGCGATCTCCTACAATCGCGCGGTCATATTCCGCGAATTCAATGAGCAATGATTAATCCTTGCACTCTTATTTGAATATCTCAGCTTCGACGGCTTTCATGTTCTTAGGGAAACTCTAACGGACAGCGGCTTCGCCGTATCATATTTTTCGGGAGACAATTAAAGTATTCTCTAGATGAAAGTAGAAATTTAGCTATACCTTTCGGAGGGACATTGCTGTCTATCTCTCTTCAAGGCGCGACGGGGAGTTGGTATGCAATATTTTGCCCTACTATTTAGTTACTGATTTTTTTTGTAGCATATTCACTCAACCACATAAAGTCTAGCTGTTGCTATACAATTGTCAATCGCACTTGTCAAAGTGCCAAATATTTACTTAGTTGTTATCACTTTTACTATGGTATCAATGAAACGTGTGACTTGACTATTAAATAAGTCTATTATTTTTGTGTACTTATGTACATGCGTATGTCCACTGTATATGCGCAAACGCGATTTTCTGTAAGCTTGCTTCGTCAATTAATTTTTGCCGCACTTGCCCTTTTATTCTGAATTGTGTTTTTTCACTTTAACAAAATTTTATCACCAGGCTAAAATACAAATAAATGAGGTTCGCATTGCGTTTTTTATTTATTTGATTTCGTTGGGAATGCGCTCAACCTGCAAAGATCGAACATTGATTGAGCTGTGGTACGTGTTTAAACTCACAAAGAAGAAGAAAGAGAGGATATACAGAAATTGGTGTTAACTTTTTCATAACCCATCAATGAATGATTCAAGTCAATTGCATATGCATAAATTGATTTTTAGACACGTCACAGTTAGAAGATTTAAAGCAAAGTTTTCGGCTTGAGTACTGGGCATACTTATTAGAGCTCGGGCAATTCGGTTAATCGATTAACCGAATTATTCGAATC